GTTCCAACATTTATAGATTTGTTCCGAATCCGATCGGTGAGTGTGAAAGTCTGTGCACCGATCTGGTATCACGTTATCATATCATTTACACTACACAGGAACAGGAACACGTGTCATTTGCTACCTGGATCCGTACATCCTGCCTGATCGCTACTGCACATGTGCAAAGACTCCAGATGTCTCACTCGTTAGCCCCTGAAAAAACGATTTGCTGCTGATTTGTAACAATCGAGCATGTGCTAGCGGTTAGCCAGCACTAGCAAAATGTCAGCAATATTTCACACTGGAAAGATCCCACCAATAACACGTAACATGTGTTTTTACCTCGCTGGTGTCGGATCGGTACTTGGTATTGGCATCGGGAAAGAAATAACTGTATTGTGACATCTCTAATCATTATATAGTGATGCATGAGCAAAACAGGTAAAATTTAACTCGGCAGGTGTTTAATGTCACAAAAAAAAGGCAACAAGGGATCACTGCTAATGTTAGCACGCTAACCTTCAAGCTGTCCTAGCTTTCACTTTCTGAGCCAAACACACCTAACAGCAGTGTTTAAAGGGACAGATGTTTTAACCTGTACATAACCATCGCTACGTCTCCGAGCAACTCTTCCCTCAGACGCAGACGTCCCCCCAGAGGCCGGAGGCCGAGGGTCTGATTTCACATTAACTCCAAAAACGGGTTTATCCTCTCTTAATGGAAAAAACAACTGCAGTAACATCTTTGTTAATATTTCTTTACAAAATAGTTTTTAGGTAATAATTTAAATTTCAGTTTGACGTTAGGATTCTCATTGAACTCCTGGAGTATATTATAGAGACGGCAGCGTGCCGCTCCAATGAAAAACCTTTCTAGTCTCGTCCATCCTTTTTAATATTTGTGTTGAGGCAAAACTAATCTAATTTTCAGCATGATTTTCTGCTTTCTATGTGCCGTGTGTTTGTTAGGACACTGGTTCATTGAAACCTTTTGTCAGACTTCTTTTAGCCACAACATGGTGACTCAGGTAGCACTCCAAAAAAATGAATTGACGGGTGATTTTCACAGATCAATTCCTAAATCTTTTCCCGTGTGAGTAAACTTCGACACCACAAAGAGTCACATCCCTGCTGCACTAACGGATCCTCACATGATAGAAGAGGCAATATGGTCTCAAGAATCACAGAGGACAACTGTAGCTGAAGAAGAAGACGAAGGACTTCTTCAAAACAGAAGGTGACAGGAAACAGGAGGAATGAAGAGTTTGGAAGAGGGAGTTCAACACTTCAACAGAGTCTGAACTCCCGGTTTAATTCGAGGTCTTCAGCTCAAAGCGGCTGTACACCTGCTTGGACTTCGCCTGGTTGTATTGGTTCACCAGGTCCAGCTTGCTGTGGCCCAGCGTCATTCGTTTCTGGTCCTGCCGGTTCATCAGCACGGTCGGGGAGAGCGGCGGTGGCGGCGGCGGCGGGCTCTGCTGGCTCTCCGGCTCCGATTTGGAGAGGTCCGGCCCCCCCCAGGGCGCGGTGCCTTGAGGGGACGGTGACCTCCGGAAGTTGTAGTTGTCTTTGGAGGGGGGCAGGAAGAGGTCCGAGAGTTTGTTGAGGAGCTGGTTGGAGGGAGGCCTCTGCTTATGGGTGAGTTTGCCGTCGTTGACCGGGGAGGGCGTCTGGGTCTTGGGGTTGAGGATTGAGTTGGGGGTACCGGCGATGGGCCCGGCGCTGTGGAACAGGCTCGGTTTGTGGTCGTACAACCCCGACCCCTGGAACTTGGAAGAGGTGCCGCCTATATTGGACCACATGGCGTCCGTCGGCTTCGACTTGTTCCACTCGCTGCCCATCGGCTGACCGTAGGGCGGCGGCGGTCGGTCCATAGCTGGGCTGTGATTGGTTCCTCCGTTAGCGGAGACTCGTGGTCCCACTGTGACGTGACTCTGAGGCGTCAGCGTCTGTCCTGACCCTCTCCTCTCGGAGCTCAGGTGGGGGTTGCTGTTGGACTCCTTCTTGTCGTGACTTTGAGTGACTTTGTAGACGGTGTTGGAGTTCATCCCGGGTGCAGCCTTCACACTGGACATGCTGTTACTTGATTGGCTGCTGGAGTTTTCGGAGGACACCCGGTCCCTCTGCCTGCTGGAGGAGGAAGGGGAAGTCAAGATCAGTACACCAAATACTCTTTGATGATTCCGTCTGTATTTTATACCGTAGAAGTACGAGCAAAATACAAAAATAAACTGTTTCTTCAGAGAACAAACTCCAAAAAACTACAGCACATAAAATAACAACAATTATTACTGGAACCTGACTTTTGTATTAAAAAACAAAACTGATTTATGGAGTGAAACAAAGAGATTATAGATTCCCTCAGTAAAAACCTTTGACTCTAATATGTCGACAAAATTAAACAATCATTTTAAAACTGGCTTTATTCAATGTTCAAATATCTGTTCTGGAAATGTATGAAAATAAGTACATATTTGATAAGGCGGTGCCTCCAGCTTGGTACCTGTCAGAGAGTAAATCCAGCCCCATGACCGGGCCGAGCCCCCCGAGCCCCATGCCGCCGGGGGTCATCATGGCTTGGAAGGGCTGGTAGTAGGGCATCCCCTCGTCCTCGGGGTTAAAGAAGCAGTCTATGATCTGAGAGTCGGCGTACAGACAGCGGAACTCCCTGTCGAAGCTGTCGGTGATGCGACCTGAGAAATGCATCATCATGTTGCTGTGCACCTGAGCCGACAGCCAGGTGAAACTGGAGAGGAGACACAATATGAGAGACCAGTGAGCTGCAGCGGAGGCGACCTGGGATATTTGAGAGAAACTGTGTTTTAAGGGCCAGTGTGAAGCATTCAGGGGGATCTATATGCAGGCATGTGTTTTCCTGAGCTCAGAATGAGTCACATCTACATAGAGAGTCCTCTTCACAGAGTCCGCCATGTTTCTACAGTAGCCCAGAGCGGACAAACCATACACTGACTCTAGAGTCCAATATGCTGTTTATGTTATATGTATATATTTTTGCACTATTTAATTGTACATGTTTTCCAGTAAAACATTATGACGGTCAACTTGAGAGTTTTAGGTATAAGTCATTTGTAAATCTGAAGGAAGTCTGGTCGCGGTTGCAGACATGCAGTAGTTCAATGATCATCGCGTGAGGTCTCCTGTAGGTTTAATCTTGGGGTTTACGGCAAAGACGAGGTAGGGAATCAACTTTTACGGTTACGGCTTTGCTAGTTTTTCCCAAAAGGTGACGAGACGACCCCATTCTAGCCAACGACAATGTGCATCAGACACACACTGTGTGTAACCAGACGTCAACCTCTGGTTCTTTAAGTGAAGTCAAAGCTTCATGTGTTAAAGCTGCATTCTCCCTAGTCTCCACCAGGGGGCGACTCCTCTGGTTGTATAGAAGTCTATGAGAA